ATAGCCCAAAACTGTAAAACAAAAAAACAAAACTGATAAAAAAAAATCACTAAACCAGTCTTATAAGAAATGTTAAAGGGACTTCTTTAAGCTGAAAAGAAAGGGTGTAGTTAGTAACAAGAAAACATGAAAGTATAAATCTCACTGGTAAATATATAGAAAAGGTAAAGGATTAATCACTTATAAAGCTAGTATGAAGGTTAAAAGACAAAAGTAGTAAAAATAACTATAACTATAAAGGATACACAGGATAAAAAGATGTGAAAATGTGACAGCATAAAGTATGGGGGGAGAGTAAAAATGTAGAGCTTTACAATGGGATCAAACTTAAGTAGTTATCAACTTAAAATAGACTTAACAACTTAAAATAAGTTGTTATATGTAAGCCTCATGGTAACCACAAAGCAAAAACCTATAGTAGATACAATAAAAGATAAAGAGAAAAGAATCTAAGCATACCACTATAAAAGTCATCAAACTACAAAGGAAGAGAGCAAGAGAAGAAGAAAGGAACACAGGAACTACAAAACAGACATAAAACATTAACAATATGGCAATGAGTACATTTCTATCAATGATTCCTTTAAATGTAAATGGACTAAATTCCCCAATAAAAAAAACAGACTGTAGGATGGCAACTAGACTTTTGGTGGTGAACATGATGCAGTCTATACAGAAGTCAAAATCTAATAATGTATAACTGAAATTTATATAATGTTATAAATCAATGTGACCTCAATTAAAAAAAAAAAACAGTGGTTGAATGGATTAAAAAAAGACCTATGTATAGGCTGCCCACAAAAGACTTACTTTAGATGTAAGGACACACACAGACTCAAAGTGAAGGGATGGAAAAAGATATTCCATGAAAATGAAAACCAAAAGAAAGGAGGGGTAGCTATACTTATATGAGAAAAAACAGACTTTAAAACAAAGACTGTAGTAAGAGACAAAGAAGGGCATAATGATAAAGGGGTCAATCTAATGAGAGGCTATAACATTTGCAAATATTTATTCACCCAACATAGAAGCACCTAAATATATAAAGCAAATATTAAAAGACCTAAAGGGACAAACAGACCACAAGACAATATAGTAGGGGACTTTAATATCCCACTTTCACCAGTGGATAGATCATCTAGACAGAAAATCAACAAGGAAACATTGGTCTAAAATGACACATTTAAGATGGACTTAACAGATATATACAGAACATGCCATCTAAAGGCAGCAGAATACACATTCTTCTCAAATGCACATGGAACATTCTCCAGGAATGGCCAGATGTTAGGCCACAAAACAAGTCTTAATAAATTTAAGAAGAATGACCACAATGATATAAAACTAGAAATCAATTACAAGAAGAAAACTGGAAAATTCACAAATATGTGGAGATTAAACAACATGATACTGAACAACCAACGGGTCAAAGAAGAAATCAAAGAGAAATAAAAAAATACCTTGAGATAAATGAAAATAAAAATTTAATATACCAAAACTTATGGGATGCAGCAAAAGCAGTTCTAAGAGGGAAGTTCATAGAGATAAAGGCCTACATCAAGAAACGATAAAAATCTCAAACAACCTAACTTTACACCTCAAGAAACTAGAAAAAGAATAAAGCAAGCCCAAAGTTAGTAGAAGAAAGGAAATAACAGAGAGAAGAGCAGAAATAAATGTCTAAAAAGACAACAGAAAAGATCAATGAAACTAAGAGCGGGTTCTTTCAAAAGATAAAATCGACAAACCCTGAGCTAGACTCACCAAGATAGAGAGAGGACTCAAATAAATAAAATCAGAAATGAAAGAGAAGTTACAACTGATACCCCAGAAATACAAAGGATCATAAGAGACTACTGTGAACAATCATATGCCAACAAATTTGACAACCTAAAAGAAATGGATAAATTCCTAGAAACATACAACCTACCAAGACTGAATTGTGAAGAGATGGAAAGTCTTGAACAGACTGATTACTAGTAATGGAATATTATTCAGCCATAAAAAAGAATGAAATCTTGCCATTTGCAACAACACAGATGGACCTTGAGGACATTATGATAAGTGAAACAGAGAAAGACAAATACCATATGATCTTATACGTGGAATCTTAAAAAAAAAAAACAAGCTCATAGATACAGAGAACAGATTGGTAGTTGCTGGAGGTGCGGGGAGAGGGGTACGAAATGGGTGAAAGGAGTCAAAAGGGACAAACTTCCAGTTATAAAATCAATAAGTCCTGGGGATGTAATGTACAGCATGGTGACTATAGTCAATAATACTTTATTGCATATTTGAAAGTTGCTAAGAGAGTAGATCTTAACAGTTCTTATCACAAGAAAAACAAATTTTTTTGTAACCATGTACGGTGATGGATGTTAACTAGAGTTAATGTGGTGATCATTTCACAATGTATGCAAATACAGAATCATTATGTTGTACACCTGAAACCAATATAATGTATGTCAATTATACCTCAATTTAACAAAACGTCAATCAGCAGTAGAATGGCTAAAGGATCTGTGGTAGATCTATAGAATGGAATACCAGAAAGTAATGAACTATAAGCAGACAAAACAATGTGTGTGAATCTCATAAAGATAACAATAGCTAGAAGGCAGTACTAAAAGAGCACAGACCATGTGATCCCATTTAGATAAAGTTCAAGCACAGGCACAACTAATCTAGGTTGAGCGAAGTCAGGATAATGGTTACCTTTTTTTGATGGGGGAGGATACTGGGAGGAGACAGGAGGGGAATTCTGGGATGCTAGTGAGAAAGAGACCGGAAGCTGGCCTAACACAGTGTGAGCCTTGGTGCTCCCCTGTTGAACAGGAAAATTTCACAGAAGAAAAACATTAGACAAAGTCACCATGTGACTGTGATGGATCAAGACAAAATCTGGAATCATATCTGACTACAAAGAAAAGACGAACATTGTCCAAACCACGAAAGTGATCAAACATCCCTCTTTCTCGGATAATATAAATGATTCCTGCCTCTTTACCAATTACAGTTTTAATCTCTTCATTCTTCCCACCACTTAAATAAGATTTCAGATAGCCCTGCTTCCTGACAGCATCCAATCCAGAGCAAAGTCTTGCTTCTTTAATCCTCCCCCAAGTCACCTAACAGAGGTGATCCTTGCTCCCTGTTCTGACTTTGCCCCAGTCTGTGGCCTGTCAGCTTACTCACACCCTCCATTCTAGACTTTTCATCCTATAAGTCTTTTCTAACACCCCCTGAGACAGCACACCACGCACTTATTACTGCAATGAGTAAGAAATTCAACTTGTAGGGGCGAGCCCGGTGGCGCAGCAGTTAAGTGCGCACGTTCCGCTTTGGCGGCCTGGGGTTCACCAGTTTGGATCCCGGGTGCGGACATGGCACCGCTTGGCACGCCATGCTGTGGTAGGCGTCCCACATATAAAGTAGAGGAAGATGGGCATGGATGTTAGCTCAGGGCCAGTCTTCCTCAGCAAGGAGAGGTGGATTGGCAGCAGATGTTGGCTCGGGGCTAATCGTCCACCAAAAAAAAGAAAGAAAGAAAAGAAATTCAACTTGCTCAACCACAGGTGTGTCCCCGGTGGTCTGTGGCTGGAGGGATTTGACACAGGTAATGTTCTGTTCCTTGAAATGAATGGTGGTTAAACAGATGTTTTCCCTTGGTGAAATTCATTGTGCTATGCACTTATGATTTATGCCCTCGTATACATGAGCGCTATACCTACCTGCAGGATCAACAGTACAACAGATGCTCATGGCAAGTTACTCACTGTATTAAATAAAAGCCTCCCAATTTAAAAAAATCATGTGACGAATGCTGTACCACTGAGTATTCATATAACAAAACTTTTTTGAAGTCCTGTTACATCCCTGGGGTTTTCTTGGGTGTTTGGGAACACAGAAATGCAGAATATGCATTTCCTGTCCTAAATGAATTTATAACCAGGGAGCGTGGACACCTGCAAAGCTGTGAAAGAGCTGTTTTGAAAGCTGCATTATGTCCCTCAGGCTGATCTGGAAAAGGCATTTCCAGGCGGACACATCGCGAGGAACAGGGCACAGGAGCCGGATAAACGTGGCAGGTAACCGCGAACATCTGGGAGTGAGAGGCAACTCGGATAGAGGGTGTGAGTGAGCTAACAGGCCACGGATGGGCCACCACAGAACAGGGAGCAAGGACGAGTTTTTCTGCCCCGTGTTTGCCAGCAGGAGAGCTGCTGGCATTTTGGGTGGACAGTTCTGTGCTGGGCAGATCTATCCCACCCCGGAAGGACGTTACATCTCCACGCCTCCACCTGATGAGTGACTTCAGTCCTGCCCAGTCCTGTGACTACGGAAAATGCCTCTTCACACTTGCAAAGCAGACAGGTCCACAGCATGGGGAGCCAAAGCAGGCAGTGCAGGCTCGCTGGGAACCTTTCATTTCTTCATCTCAGTGCTGGCTACAAGGCTGTGCTCACTTTCTAAGCATCCATTGAACTGTACCCTTACAATGTGTATGCCTTCCTGGATAAATGTTATATTTCAATCAAAAAGTTTATAGAAAAAACTTGTGGGATGCAGCTTAAAGGAACATACAGAGGAAAATTTACAATCTTAAATTTATTGGGAATGAATGCTAAAAACTTACTAAGAGTCCTCAAGAAGCTATAGAAAGAACAGCAAAATGATTTCAAATAATATGAAACAGGTGAAGGAATGTAAGAGCTATTTTCTAAAAGTATATTTGACAAATGAAACCAAAACACCACTAAAAGAGAAAAGTCTATAGACCACTCAAGTCTGATTAAGATAAAATTAAGATTAAAATAAACAGAATCAGGAATGTGAAAGAGAACATAATTAAAATATCCAGAGATTTCTAAAGTATGAGAACACAGTGTGAATCTTCCAATTAAATGTGGTAGATTGACCACAGGCATTTAAGTCAGCTTTTTCCTAAGACACAAAAATAACAACTGTAAACAAATGTTCTTTTTAATGTATAAACTCACCAAGGGGACAAAGGGAATGGGAGAGATGTCATGCGAGTGCAACAGATTTCTGGAAAGCAGCCAGAGTGGGCACAGACCCAGCTGAGGAGACCAGTGAAAATCCGGCCCCTCTGCCCAGCAGAATCCCTGAGGTGCGCAGGACATGGAGACACCAGGTTCCTAGGAAGGCAAGGATGGGGCATGGGTTGGCAACGGGGGACTGACTGGACCCCAGATTCCACCCCAAGTGTGCTAGCAAGGGTGGGGGCAAGTCCAAAATCAAGCAAAACAAAGTTACGGTGACAGGACAGTGTTGCCTTTGGGTAGTACTGCCTGGGAGGCAGCACGAGGGTGCTGGAAATGTTCTCTATCCTGAGATGGGTGGGGGTTCCATGAACTGTACGCTTCCAGCTGTGCACTGTACTGCATGTAAGTTATACTTCAATAGAAAACTACAATGGAAACCAATGTGTTGAGCACCTACCATGAGCTGGGTGCCTACTATGTGCTGCACAATTTATCTCCCCGCTTCCTCTATAGGATTTCTATTTCCCTCCTCTCATCCCTTTTCTTGTAAGACTTCCAGGTCCTTCCCTTCCTCGTTCCTCTCCCCCTCTTCTCATAAAGGACTTCTGTATGCCTCCTCCTCACTCCTCTTCCCACCCTCTCCTCACCCAGGACTTCTGTGTTCCCCCCTCACAACATTCCTTCCATTCCCTCCTCATCCAGGACCCTCTCATCCCTCCCTCCCATCCTCCTTCTCCCACCCACTCCTCTCACAGGACTTCCATGTCCTCTCCCTCCCCTCCTTCCACAAGAGGGAGGCAGGCCAGACTCTCCCCTATGAGCACTCCACCACTCCTTTCTCTTGCCGCCCACTTCTTCCCACAGGACTTGTACAATCACTCCCTCCACACCCCTCTGCGGAAATAAAAGAAACCTTAACTAAATTGGAGTCGGGAAGGCCTGTACGGGAGCTCTCGCACCCTAGCACACATGGTCAGTTACACCAACGTGGAGGAGAGGAGGCTTGCATCCTAAACAGTAGAGTCGTAAAGCTACTTTACTGTGAAAGGAAGCCTTCTCTCCCCACCCAGCAACAGGCTAGCCAATGACAAACCGTTGCTGCCCTGAACTGCTACTTTCCCCCAGCGGACCTCCCTTTAGAACAGCCCCTCCCTACTCCCCCTTTTTCTCTATAAAGGCAGCTCCCCTCCTTTCTTTTCCAGATTTGCCTATGGTTTGCTCTAGCATGCACGTCCCAAATTGCAATTCTTTTGGCTATTCCCGAATGAACTCATTTTGAGGGTAAAATAACTGGAGAATTTGCTTTTTAAGTTGACACCTCTTACCTGCAGGAGCAGCCCAGCCTTCTCCGCCAGCAGGGTGCCCAGGCTGGGGCTCACCCTACTGCAGAGGGGACTGCCACATGCAGTGGGCCTTCCTCTGCCAGGTCTCCCCACTTCCAACTCATGTCTTCTCTCTGGTGTAATCCTCTCCCACTGTGTCTCTTCCCTTCAGCACTGAGCAGACTCATCTCCCTCCACTCGCCCCTCACTCGCAGCATCTCATGCACACTCACCTTCTCGCTGTTACACAGCAGGTTGGTGGTCTCAGGCCTTGTCCAGGGGTGCTTTAGGATTTACCTGGGGGGAGCTGGAAGGGACGATAAGGGGTCAAAGTTAAAACTGCTGTTTTTAAGGTTTTTATCGAAAGAAAGAAGAGGTGAAATAATTGGTAAAAATGTTTGTGGTCCAGCACTGCCTTAGGAAATTATAGGGCCAATCTGGGCGTCCCAGGGTAGTCTAGAGGGCCTAGGGGATGGGATGAAGAGGAGTCTTATTAATATGGTTTCGGTGGTTTTAGCTAAGGTATTAAGGCGAGAAAATTAAACTACTGGTATAAATATGGGGGGAGGGTTGTGGAGCTGATTTGGTGGTCCTCAGGACAAAGCTGGAGGGCCTTAGGGATGCTCAGGCAGTCCCAAAGGATGGGTGCGACAGTCTCATTATTAATATTGCTTTGAAGGTTTGAGCTAAAAATTAAATAAGAAAATGATATATTAGTATCAGCCCTAAAGAGAATGAGCACAGGTCTAAGGATCTCAGGGTCTATCTTCTGGGGGGAAAGGGTGGGCTGAGGGATCAAAGCCCAGGTGTGGAGGGGAGTCTCAAGGCTGGTCAGGAATGTCACAGGGTGAGTCTATGGATTTCAGAAAACAATAATTGGTGTAAATATTGGGAGTTCCCAGTTCTGGATAATGGGGCCTCAGTGTGGACCTGAGGTGCCTCAGGATGAGCTGGTGGTGAAAATACAAATCTGGGGTCAAAGGACTGGTTTAGGCACCTAGAAGACATTATTAATAGTGTTTTGGAGGTTTTAACTAAAGAAATAAGAAAACGAAGTAACTGATATAAATTTGGGGGAAGTCTAGTGCTGCTCTGAGCATTCCCAGGTAATTGAGTGGGGAGAAATCACTATTAATATTGTGATAGAAGGTTTAGGAATAGGAAAAAGACAAGAAAATGGAATAATTGATATAATGTTAGGGGGAGTGTTCAGTACTCCCATTTTCTGGGTCTAGGACAGGTCACAACATGAAATAACCCAAATAAAGGCTGGGGATCCACACACTGCTCTCTGGTGGGTCTGAGTCGGGCCTGGGAGGGGCCTATGTATTGTGGCCTTACTGTATCACGGTAGTACCCCCAGGTCTGGCTAACCTTGTAATTCACGTGGGTCTCGTTCTTGTGCAGTCCCCCGAGCCAGGCCACCCCCTTCACAGCTGCAGCAGGAACTGCCATGTCAAGATGGGTCCATGGCTGCTCCTGCCATCCCAGGAGTACCCGGAGAGTGGACGACTCATAAGCAAGAGGCTGCGACACAGGAGGGGGCAGAGGTCAGTAGAGATGCCCAGCACCTGGAAGTGTTTCACGCACCGCCCTCCTTGGACTGATAAAATGGGAATGACGATAGTGCTCACCTGGTACTTTGTTAGGACAATAAAATGAGCTGAAGAAAGTAAAGCACTTAGCACAGTGCTAGCACATCAGGGCTGAATGTTACTGTTGTTATTATTTCTGTTAGCACCTGCCCATCTCCCCCTAACCAGGATGCCCCTTTCTCACCCTAGAAAACCCATCACTCCTTTTTAGTATGCTCACTGCCTAGTTCGGAACACTCTGCACCAGTCATGAGGTAGCTGCCATCTTCACTTCCATGTCGTAAATGAAGAAACTGAGGCATGGAGAGGAAAAGGACAAGATGCCCAAGTTTACACAAACCACAAAAGTCTGCCCACAGCTTGAGCTCCTAAAGGCTACGTAACGCTGCCGCTAGCCAGCACCTGCGCGCACCACCTGCCCGGAAAGACACGCCCGCAAGGACACCCAAGGTCAGACCGCGCTCCGGACGCGCCCCTCCCGCCTAACGGGACGGGAGAAACCGTACTGGGCGGGGCGTGTGGCGGCGCTCTACAAATGCCCCACCCTCCACGTAGAACGTCCCTGGATGACCCGCCCCCTACATAAATGCCCCGCCCTCCACGTAAAACACGCCTGAATGTCCTGCCCCCACGTGAATACTCCGCCCTCCACGTAGAACGCTTAGAACGCCCCTCCTTCCACGCAGAACGCCCCACACGCCCCGCCCACCACGTAGACAACCCCACACGCCCTGCTCTCTGTGTAGAACTCCTCAAACGCCCCTCCCAACACGTAAACGGCCTCTCACACTCTGCCCACCATGCAGACCGCCCCACACGCCCCGCCCACTGTGTAGAACTCCTCAAATGCCCCTCCCACCACGTAGACAGCCTCACATGCCCCGCCCCCCACGTAGAGAGCCTCGCACGCCCCGCCCATCACGCAGACCACCCCACTGCCCCACCCACTGCACAGAGCGCCCCATACGCCCCGCCCGCGCTGTAGAAGGCTCGGAAGTAAATCACTCTTGGATGTGGGCAAATATACTGTGTTTCGAGTAAGGCCAACCTGAGCAGGGAGCCCAAGTCTAGCCTTCCTAGTCCTGAGAATCGCCTCGCGCCCGAAACTCCCGCCGCCCCGGTATCCCTGAGCACCGCCCTTACACCCCTCCAGGGACTGGGCGAACCTGAGTGGAACCTGGCTGACCGATGGAGAGGTGGGAGGGGCCGTGCTTTACACAGTTAGACGGGATTGTGGAGGACCTTACATTAGCGTGGGAGTAGGAACAGGAGGCAAAGAAATGGACCAGTGGGGACTGTGAGGACTATGTGGAGCCTATGGGTAGCGTGCCTTGAAGAGGGGCGGGGCTCAGTGGATTCTGAATGAGAGTGGAGAGGCAGGACGCACAGGTGGAATCTAAGGCAGGAGTGAAGCATACAGTGTGTGCAGGTTGGGGACGTGGATACAGCCCTATGAATGTAATGGCGAGGGCAGCTCAGCAGTTGGAAATTCCCAGTAATAGATGGGAATAGTAAAGTGAGTCTGGGGTTATCATTGATAAGAAAGCAGTAGTTACTGAAAGAGGGTGTCTTTATGGCATTTTACAGCTGCTGTATGACTTTGGGAGAAACAATATTTCCTGTTAACTTTGAAATTGTCTTTATCTGTGCCTGTCATCCCAGCCCAATTATTAGCAGGGCTACATTTTTCTTTCTCACTCTGAGCTGATTTTCACTCTTTCTATCCCAAAGAAGTTTTTACTCTTTCACTCCCCCTTTTGGCCAAGGGCAGGAGAGGTCAACCACAGAACATTATTCTGTGAAATTCAGATCTTCACCATTGTTAGAGTTCCATTGATCTAAAGGTGGTTTGGAGGACAAGTCTGTAGTTGGACAAATGTCCATTCTTCACATTCCTTCAATAGCAGCTTAGTGTTGGATCATCAGACAGGACAGTGGCTGCACAGTAGCATTTAGGACTCTGCAGGTCCCACTAATTTTTGCTGGGAAAGATTTGCTCTGAGCTAACATCTGTTGCCAATCTTCCTCTCTTTTTTTCTCCACAAAGCCCCAGTATAAGTTGTATATTCTGGTTGTAAGTCCTTCTATGTGAGCCACTGCAACAGCATGGCTACTGACAGACCAGTGGTGTGGTTCTGTACCCAGGAACTGAACTGCTCCTCCAAGCAGAGTGCACAGAACTTTAACCACTAGGCCATTAGGGCTGGCACTGGAGGTCCCACATTGGAACACTGTAACACAGATAAATATTAGGAGAGTGATTATAATCAGAATGTGACGTCCACTTCTAAGTGAAAAGCCAGGTTTACCCAAGTTAAGCAAAAAGAGCAAATCTCATTCCTATTCTGAAGAGCATGTAGAACCAGATATTGGGAGACTGGGAAAAATACCAAATATATTAATTTGCTTGCTTGTTTCTTTGGTATTTTTAATAATGTTAAAGATTCCAGAGAGTCTACTGGAAAGTAGGTACAATATTCTTCCACCTGAAAGGCCAATATTATATCTAGAGTAGCTGTATGCTCAACCACTGCTTACCTGATTTCATGAACCTCTTGGGCAAGGAGTTCTGTGGTCTTAGTGACATTGTCTAGTTCTTCTGCTATTCTCTGAACAACAGCATGTGGGATTTCCCCCACTCTTATAAAGTGTGGAATGAAGAGTCTTGGTGGCAGAAGAAGGCAGTCCAAAATTCCTCTTGAGTAGTTAAAAGTTTTTGGCTCAAGTCAAGGTCCAGTTTCTCTCCTTGAGTCAAATTATCTAAAGACTTCTTTCTCTAAAACGAAACTTAATGAGACCCTAGGTGGTATCAGGGACTATTCTGAAGGCAGGGATTAGTTTACCAAGATAACAGATCCTGTGCAATTTGTGGTTAATAGTCAATAGGTGTTTATGTCATGAATGCAATACAGATTCATCAGGGGCCACCAGGTGATCTTTCTTTGGTCAAAATAACTCCTATGGGGTTGTCAAATCGTATTGTAATGTTTTGCATCATTTAGCAAGAGTGTTCTGATGCCAAACATTGACAATTTTAGTAATAAGAGACCATCAGGTAGATCTAAACCAAAAGAACTTGGGGCTGTGCCTATATAATATGTCTTTTTGGTCAGTCTCTGAATATACACCATCTTTCCCTCAATTCTTTCCCAATTCTATTTTGGTGAAAGTTCAGTTACAAAAGTTAGAGTCTATGATATATTCCCAAGTATTGTTTCAGTGGAGATAGGAACTCCTTTTTTGGTAGGATAAAGAGTTTTTGAGTTTTGTTTGTCTGGCCTATTGTGGTGTTTGACATCTAAAAAGTCTCTCCTTAGTTGAGTCCAATTACTCTGAAACCCAACTGATCTATTACAAGGAATTGGTTTAAACAGAAGTTGAGTGTCACCAAAAGAAAGTTGAGAAAAACACAACAGTTTGAATATATACTGTAGTCAAATCATGAAAAAATTATGTGTTGGAGTCACACCAAGGAGTAGCTAAGGATGTAAAGAGAAATATTAAGGATAGGAGCCTTATATATGCCATAGTTAGGAGGTAAAAAGTGTCTGTTAACAATCCAGAAGCTTAAAACATCAAAAGGAAAAGAAAATAACCAGAAAAACAAGAAACAAAGTTCTGTAGATAGAAGTGTGACAATATGTGACTCCAAGTGTCTTGCTTCATAAGTCTTGGACAGAAGCTATGTGTCTGTTGGTCTTGGGTGGAAGTATTCACTTTGATGCCAACAGATCCATACATATCAAATTGTAAAGAAATCATAGGGGAAAAATATCTTAGAGCTAACAGCACATGTATGTGCACTGAAGGAGGAATGGTCACAATGTACACTCAGCATTGCTTATTGTGGAGGGTGTATTTCCATACAGGAAAGGCCCTTGCGTACTAGTGAGTACCTAGGTGTGTGTCTGGGCACACAAAGGGGGCCTCCAGCTGAGTTTGAGAATAGGAGCTTGGGAGAGGGTGGAGGACGAGGAAAAAAATCCCTATGGTGGCATTTTGAATAGAATAAAAATGAAAACAATGTATCAAAATTTGTGAGGTGCTGCTATAAGAACTATTTAGAAGAAAATTCACAGCACTAAACACCCATGTTAGAAAAGAAGAAAGGTCTCAAATCAATTACCTCAGCTTCCACCTTAAGAAATTAGAAAAAGAACAAATTTAACCCAAAATAAGTAGAAGTAAGAAAATAATACAGATCAGGGCAGAAACCAATAACATAGACAAAAAAATAAAAATCAATGGCACAAGCAGAGGCACTCACAACTAGAATATAACTGTACTGGGGGCTTTGGGGAGAAGAAGAAGAAAAAAAAAAAGAAGAACATTGGCAACAGATGTTAGCTCAGGTGCCAATCTTTAAAAAAAAATTAATGAAACCAAAAGCTGGTTCCTTGACTAAATCAGTAAAATTTATAAATCTCTAGCCATATTCATTCTCTGTGCCTCATATACAAATCTGCCCCACTAAGAAATGATCTTGAAAGTCATCCCGAGAATAATGAGCCCCGTACCCACATCCAAATAAAAGAAAAGCAATGGTGGGTTTCACTATGTGCAACTTACAATGCAAGAATATGGGTTCTTGAGTGCTATTTTCAGACTCTTTCACTTTATGAAGGATTTCAAAGGTGTTTATAGTCATCTGAAAGAGGTAGTTATTGCTACAACTATGGCAAATACACAGCACTTCGGTTATTCAAGTTAACACGTGGGTGTGTTGTTATGAGATCGGCACTGTCTTATTCTCTCTGACGTTCTTTTTTTTTTAGCAGCTGCCTGCCATCATTAGATTAGAATTAATATAGTGCATTCAACTCTTGGCTAGTTCGTGGCTTTGAGTTTCTCTAGTGATTTCCACTGTGTGCATGGACATAGGCACACTTCATGGACAAGGACACACCCAGAGAGATGTTTCCTCACTGAGGAGGAGGCTATTGGAGAAGTGCACCAAATAGATGTTGTTATGTGGTCGTTGCTTTGACAAGGCACTGGACAAGGCCGTGAGGATAATTTGTACTCTTATCTGAACCATGTGCTTGCTACATGAGATCCAAATAGGAATCTCAGCTTGACCACAGGGGAAAGAGAGAAAGCAGTATTCCTGCTTCATTTTCATGCAAGTTGGGGAAGGTATGAGTCAGGGGATTACCTTACAGTCTAAACCAAATTATGCTCCTTCTCAAGAAGTAATCTTGGGTAAGTGCCTCTTGTATAGGAAATGGGAGCAGCAGCAGTGTTAGGAAGAAGACAATGATGTGGAAAGGACCTTGGACTGGAGGTTGAAGAACTGGACTCTAATTCTTGTTTGCAAGCAACAGTTTTTGGTGGCCTTGGGTGAATTACTTCACTTCTTTAGACTTGCCTCAGTTTCCTCTGTAAAATGAAGGAGGTAGACCAGATGGCTCAACTCAATAAACAACAATGCATTGAGTGTCTAGTTTTCCTTGACTCAGTACTAGGTACCTGTCCTCTTGGATTTCATTGTCTTTCAGATAAGACAGCATTAACAATTAATTTT